TGGTATTTAAGGAGGAAAAAGAATACGCAAGAATCCTAATCTTGGGACTTTACCATTGAATATCTTCATCATCCTCCAACTATACCTATTCAGTTTTCAGAATACATAAATCAATATCAAATACTTGTACTTGAACCTATTCATCATATTAAAAAATTTGAATTTCAGGTCTACATCAGAAGGAACAAGAACCAAAAATAGAAAGAGTCATAATTACCTTATCAGAGTCATAAAATTTAATTCGGATCTAGATCCAAAATCACTGAATATTTCAAGTAATTCAAGTTCATATCTCTCTATTGATAATCTGTATGATGATAGGCCTATTGATTTAAGGAAGAAAAGAAAAAAGAGCATGTATTGATCATGCAATTCATAATTTTGTTTCAACTAAAGGTCTTTTAGAAACTCACTGAGTATTTGTTAGGAATATTGATAAAATACAGATACCAAGAATAATTTATGAAGCACTAAAAGTGCCTTAACGGAAACTACAATTGTGGAGAAATCCAAGCTTTAAAAAAGAATAAGATTTGGGAAATAATAGAATTACCGCCTAGTAAACATCTAGTCGACTGTAAATGGATGTTCACAACCAAGTATAATATTGATGGTTTTATCAACAGGTTCAAACCTCAATTAGTAACCAGATGCTTTACTCAATCCTAAAGAATCGATTATCAGGATACATTTGGACCAATAACAAAGTTTAACATAATTCGGATGCTAATGTCTCTAGCTGTCAATTTGGACTGGTCATTATTCCAACTAGATGTGAAGAATATTTTTCTTAATAGAGAATTGGAGGAAGAAGACTATATGAAGATATCGATAGACTTTAAAAGTCAAACAATTAATAGAAAGGATTGCATACTAAAAAAGTCTCTATATGGACTTAAACAATCTCTAAGAGTATGGTTCGAAAAATCCACTTAAGCAATGAGAGGTTTAGAATTGATTATCAGGAGATATTTGCACTAGTAGCAAAACTTAACATAACCCAAATACTAATGTCTCTAGCTACCAATCTGGATTAGCTACTATTCCAACTAGATCTGAAGAATATTTTTCTTAATGGAGAACTAGAGAAATAAGTTTATATACAGATACCATAAGACTTTAAAAGCTACTATCAGAAAGGTCTACAGACTCTAAAAAATCCCGATATGGACTCAAACAATCTTTAAGAGCATAGTTCAAAAAATTCTAAGGCAATTAAGAGGTTTGGATATAATCGATGCTAAACAGATCATACTATGTTTTTCAACCACGATCTTTCAAGAAAAGTGGCAATTATTGGCATCAAGGAGTAGTGTTGAGATTGAGTTCAGAGCATTAACATAGGTATATGTGAAAAAATGTGCCCACAGAGTATTGAATGAATTGAGAATTCCCTCTTCAAAGTCTATGAAAATATTTTGTGATAATCAATGCATAGTAAGCATGGCAAAAAATCCAATTTATCATGATCGAACTAAACATGTGGAGATTGAGAACCACTTTATTAAAGAAGAAATAGAGTTATTAGCACGATTCTTGTGACATATTCACTCTTATTATTAAACCTCAGATATTTTCACCAAGGCTAATTAAGAGAACTTTCGAAGAACTAAGGTTCAAGTTTGGTTTGTTCAACATCTTAAAACCAGCTTGAGGGGGAGTAGAGGAATCCAACTTCTTATAAAAGTCTTATTTCTATACATATTAATATTTTTAGGAAAAACTCCCTATAAAAAGAATCATAGTCGACTTCTATAAATAGGAGATTTTTTTCTTTTATGGGGTTAATTTGTATTAGTTTTTTGTTAAAACTTTCTCTAATTTTTTCTTATATATATTTAGATATTGTAGATTAAATATTATAAAAAAAATCAATAAATAGAAAGTTTATTTACAATTTTTCATTTCTGTATGCTAAATTTTTTAGGCGGACATGCCAAAACATTAATGTTTGCACATCTTAGTCCTGAGGAAGATTCTTTTGGAGAAACAATCAGTACCTTGAAGTTTGCTCAGAGAGTTTCAACTGTTGAACTTGGTGCTGCTCGCGTGAACAAGGAGAGTAATGAAGTTATCCAACTTAAAGAACAGGTAAATCTTTCAAATATCTAGAGGGCTTGTTTTTCTATAATAAAATGGAGGGTTTCATGGGTTAGAAGGAATCTTTTACAATCTAATAGTTAGAAGTACATAATGTCGAATGATGAATTTATAACCTGATCTTGTTCTCTAATCTTTCAGGTCGAAAGCCTGAAGAAGGCATTAGCAAATAAGGAACAAAATGTTCTCTATAGTAAAACCAAGGAAATAAGATCTCCACGTGACAAAACAATATCCATGAACGAGAGAACTCCTCCACATGTCCGAAGATTAAGTATTGAGAATGGTAGTGCAGCAAAGAGTTTGAAAGTTATAAATCCTGAAGATAGGAGAGCATTGAGAACTCCTATAGTAACTCGCACAAGGAGATTGAGTCTGGAAGGGCAAAGGTCTGCTGCTACCAAGGATAACATTCACACTAAAAAGTCTGAAGATGAGAGTAAGTCCACGTCACCTGGAATAGGATCAATTAAAAAACCATTTGGACATTTCAGCAATGGCAGTTTCACCATGGATGTTTATCATCTACAAGTTCCCCGAAGTCCAACAAGTTCCTGTAGAAAAAGAACAGTAAAAAAAGATGGAAGAACACAAATTCCACATCTTCAACTACCAAAATCACCCGAGCCAAAAGTAGTTGCCAGAAATCAGGTTCAGATTGTCATGCAAAGCGAGTTTAGTGTTCCAGATGAATCTCGAACAACAAACGGATATGGAATAAGAAAATCCCTCAGAAACATTGGAAAATTAATAAATGGCTCTGAGAAGAGGTAAGCAATTGAGACCACAGTTTATGTTATTACTATTAGTTTCCTGGTAGTAAAATTGTTGGTAGGCATACAAACATTTCAACTGCTAGACAATATATCTGAATGGATTGAAATATAAAGTGTCTCAACTCAAAATGTCTCTGTAATACAGGAACCCAAAAAATTCAGTGGAAGCACAGACCCCCATTAAAGATGCAA